TTTTTTAACTTTGCAAAATAAATTTTTTATATTTTCTTTTTTTTCTTTTTTATACACACACATTGAGCGTTAAAAATGTTATGCTGAGGAGATAAAAAAAAGCTTTTCCAGGAGTGAGGAATGGAGAAAAGAGAAACTGGTCTCTAAAATAAAACATGAAAAGAATGAAATCCATAAAACTTAATCTGAATAAGAAAAATTTTAACGAAACATTTTTGAAAATATAAAAACAAAATTTTATTTCCATTCACAAAATGTCTCTCCATGCAACGATAACGGACAAAAATTGTGAAACAAACTGTTATAACGGATTAAATGCAGAAAAGTGAATGGATCCATCGCAATTTGTTGTGTTTAGGCTCCATTTATCTAGCCTGGTGAGACCATCCTGATCTCGCGAGCTTTCAAGGTTTCACTCGCTAATCAGTCTGGAGACTCTCCGTTAAAGAAAATTTGGAGCCGTTCACCAAACGAACGTCCAATCAGCGTTGGCTTTGAGGCGGGTTGAGGTGTGACCCAACGAGAAGCGCGACAGTTCAGTCTAAAGAACATGGCGGCTTCAGCCGATGAAACTAGCGTTAGCGTGGCTATCGAGCAAGTTTTATCGGAATTACAGAGTATTTCTTCACTGAAAGAAGAGCAAAACACTGCTCTGGAGGCTTTTCTCAGAGGAAAAGATGTTTTTGCTCTTCTCCCGACTGGTTTCGGCAAGAGTTTGATCTATCAATTGGCTCCTCTTCGTTGTCGCTCTGTTAGTACGTCATATGCTTCGTTGATCTGATTGGTTTATTTGGCCCGTCTATCACCAACATAGGCCAATCAGCTAACCAGGATTTTCGCCCCTTCCCAAAATTACTTCAACGGAAGGTTTCCAGATGGATATGCGGAGCAAATCCATCTGCCGGAGTCAGGTTACCATTTATCCCCATTTCCGTTTTCCCACAACCAGCAACGTCTTCCAACTGTTTCAGTCGTCGGTGTTGAGGAGACGTAGTCCTTTTAAAGAAACGGTTTTATATTTCAACTCTTCACTTCAATCAAGAATGTCAAATTATATATTTTTTTGCTTAGGAAATAAGAATTCAATTTTTTACAAAATATTACCAACTGTTTTGCCTTTATAAGACGTTACACCCAGGGTTTTTTCTGGCTAGCGGAAAAAAAAAAAATTTACACTCCCCCCTGACACACACAAACACACACCCATACACCCCTCTTTTTCTTAACTGGTGATTTCAATGAACAGGAGCCTCTCTCTTCCCCTCTGTCCATCACAGTCTCTGGCCATTAATCATCTCGAGTGGACAGTGCTGACAGGCAGTTGGCAGCATCCCCCTCCCCAATCATCATCATCATCATCCTCCACCCGTAGATCCAGCAGCCTAACTCACACCGCCCCTAACTGCAGTCCCATTTCTTATCCACATCCCCTCCTGCTTGGTGACACAGCAGCCGGTTATCCAAGCATGACGATCCCTCCTCAGCTTAAACAAAACCTTTAAGGCGGTTAATAGTGACAACTCAGACTGAGGCTTTTTCTTTCCCTGCAGAGAGCACAATGAAGAGGGAAACCTGTAATGGATCCAATGATCAATCGTCGGGTTATATACACTCTTCAAACGTGGGCAGCTCTAATGCACTTTTATTACATGTACATGTCAGGCCATTAGCTGCTTTTTGCTCCTGCAACAACAACAAAAAATACTATATCCATGAGGTCTATTAAGGCTGAGATCATGTTTAATAAATACAAACAGAACTGAATTCCCAGAAAAATATGAGAATTATTGAGGTGAAGATTAAGGAATTTACATGTAAGTGTTTTATACTCTTATCTAGATAGCACCTCTCCCTTACCGACACGATTTAGGACAGCTGCTAAAATTCCTCAACCATTAACACACAAACACACACACACGCACATATGCAGGCGTGTTTTCAGACTGCGGAGGCAGGAAATGGGAATCCCTCGTATTTTTTCCTTCCGCTGTTGCTTTGCTTTCAAGACTCAGAGGCCCCTTGGAAGGTGGGAAAAAATCACCTCACCATTTGTCTCTCCTGTCTTCAGAGCCTACTGATGTTTACCCTGCCCCACAAAATACAAGTTTTCACTCCAAGTTCTTCATTTTCACCTAATAGTTGCACTTTGCCAATAACATGTTTTAAAAAACAACAAATTAAAGTTGTTTGTGAGGTTTTAAATTGTGAAACACACAGAAGTTGAAAATCGGGCATAAAAGTAGATCTGACAAACTACTTGTGGTTAGAAGGCAAACATATTACTTTGAGACAGAATATCTGAAAAAATTATGGCTGAAGTTTGCCCACAAATTGGTAAAACTGTGGGTAAATTTCAGAGGCTGCAGTATTTGCTACTAACTGTTGACCCTTGCACTTTCCCACTACCTAACACTTGTTGAGGATGACACAGGAACGTGATCCATGCAAGCCTGCTCCACTAAGGCTTATGTAACACAAGCCGCAAATGTAATTGGGCTCAGACTTCTGACAGTTAAAACATACAAAATAGTTTTTTCAATCTAAACACGAGTTTAAAAGTAACCAGATTAAGGGACATGTTAAAGGAATGACACAGCGAGTCTTAAAGGAGCCAGACAGACTAGGTCCCTTTGGTCTCTGGCTCTGCTCAATCCATTACCGTCCAAACAAGAACCCAAGACCAGATCAGAGACATTTAGGGTGCATTCGAACAGATGGTTGAGTCCAGGGATCAGTAAAAGTGAGAGAATTCACACCTTCCCTTAGTCCGGTTTGCCCTCACATAGTGACTTTTAGAGGCCTGCAGCTGCAATGGATTGTTTCAGGGCAGAATTGCTCTAATATTGCTTTGATCCGGAAATAAATCAAAGCACAAAAGAAAATTCTGCCTTATTGATTGTCCAGGATAAAAACAATTCCCCTTGCACCATTCTGTTCTTAACTAGCATGACCTTCAGGAACTGGACTGTGGCATGGTAAAAAGTGCTCCAAAGGTTCAGCATTGAAGCCCTGTTAGAAGTTAAAGGTTTTAGAGTTTCATTACAAAGACATCCAAATGTATCTGGCACAACTTCGCCTACTTCTAAGGTAACATTTTAAGGAAGCAACTTTACTCATTAACAAATTAATTGAGCGTGTGGATTAGATAGAAGTGCAGTAAGCTCCAAAAATGAAAGAATAAACAGCTATTTATGCTGTTGTATATTTTTTTAGGTAGGATTTGGCTCCAAAACGCTTTGGGCTTAACAGGTTAATAGTGTTGCTAATATCAATTCATATGTCCTCGTTAATGGAGCATTTGAGGATTAGAGACTGACTAGGGCAGTGCTTGAAAGGAGGTTATAAAAAACCAAGCAAACAAAAAACACACAAACACAAAAGTTTATATGGAATGCCTCCTGATAGTGTTTACTTAGTTCTTAATTAACCCGAATAGTTATTGCACCAAGAACGACCGGCAGATTTAAACCTTGTCGTACACTATTGCCATCTGCCGGCAGTACTGTATTTATGGTGCTGTCACACCATGACGATGTAGCCAGCGATGCACAAAAAATTTGGCAAAAACACTGGCATACGTTGGATAGGTTCGTTTTGTTTAAGTTCTGAGCATGCTTAAGCATGCTGGCAAATGTTGACATACAGCAAGTATGTCAAGACGTATGCCAGTAGTAGGGCCATAAGTTAATGGTAAGTTTTGTGATCGTTGACATACATCAAGTGTAAGTTACTCATAAGTGGTAGTGTCTAGCTTATCTAAAACCTATGAGTAATTTGTTCTTAACTTATGTGTAGCTTATCAAGGACTTATCTCCAACTCATATCGACGTATTTGACGTGTTCCAGACGACCACTGAACGTGTTTCTAACTTACAGCTACTGTTTAATGCCGTATTGGCAGCATTTATGTATAAAAGGGAGTTAACAGGACGAAACCGTCAGTACTCCACCAAAAGAGACTGAAGTTTATTATTCACCTGCTTAGCAGCAACAACAAGAGTTTTGTAAGAGCTATTGTCAAAAAATAAATAAATAAATAAAAATCACAATACATCATCTCTTTTAATGTATCGTGATAAATCGTATTGTAATCGTATATTTGGACACATGTATCATGTTGCAAATGTCTCACCATATATGCTTATGACTGTTGAATACCCATGTGACTTCATAATCATGTTCTGCTCCTACAAGGAATAATATTTGTGGATTATTTTTTCTTTTGAGAAAAAACTGGAAATGTGTCCCACTTGAGTGTAATGGAGATATGCAATGTAGGTAGATAGGTAAAGTAGGACCATCCTCCTCCAACGCCTCAATCCCTTTGACTGCAAGGAATAAGTTTAAAAATGTACAACACAATTAGACATATATAAATAAATATTTTTTTTAACAAACAAACTAAAGTATTTGTCCTGTTTGTTTTTTTATGCGTCAGACTAAATCAAGTCTGTGCTTAATTGAGAAAAATGGGATTTTCAATCAGATCTCCAGGTTCTTTCTAAACCTCGAGGCTAAAATGTTCAGACTTTTCTTTGATGGTTTAGCAGCTTCATTTCTGGTCAATTTCATATAATTGTATAACGTGACAAAATGTGAAATTGTTCACGGATAATTAACACATTTTCCAAGATACACATATATTCACCAAATAAAGCGTCTTTGCTAGGATATAAACCACAAACACATCTAAAGCCCATTATCTGTAATCAGAGTCTGCCAACAGTCTGGAGTAAAGTATGCTCCAGTATAATCACACTGAGATTCACTTTGGGAGGCCTTCTCAGGCCAGATGCCTTATTTGGCAACAGGTCTGTATGATGAAAGCATTGCTGCATCAGCAGTGGGGGTCTAAAGGGTCTTGGAGTTGGTGAGGAAGAACCACAGCTTTTGAAATGTAGAGGACTTTGGGAAAGTTGGTGGCAATCATTCTTTAGGCCATATTATAAGACAAATCCTAATGAACCTCCACTTTCTCAGAGCTACGCTGCTGCTCGTACCTCTTTTCTGCATGAAGGTGAAGAGATCATCTAAAAACTCCTTCCTTTTGGGGTCGTTGTCCAGCTCGTACAGCTGCAGGAGATCACAGGAAGATTAAAAGCTTGTTGTAGTTGTGCTGTCTCTACAGCATGTTCAATTGAACCGTGTCAATTGTCGGCCTGACACTGACTGGATCTTAACAAACTCACCTTTGCAAAGTCTCTGGAGGCTTCTCCTCTTCCTCTGTTACTGTCAGCGTCGTCTGTCCATCCAGAGCTGCCATTCTGCATAAAAACAAAAAGGAGAAAAGCTCAGCAAACAAACGGAAAGAGACGCCAAACAAACAAGCGGGGAATCCTGTTTTCATGAACAAAGAAACTGAAGAAAGAAAATGTAGGTTGTGGGATGACATTATTTATTTATTATTATTGCAGTTTCTGTGAATGAACTTTGAACTTTATTTTTTTTTTCTATAATTGTTCATTTGATTCATTCAGTTTTACTGCAGGTCTAGATGTTTGAGGGAAAAGAAGAACAACAAACCTTAAGACAAACATCCAGCAATAAAAACCGACGTAAACTCAGAGCTAAAGAATGCATTTATCCAGGGGTTGAAAGAGCAACTCTGGAGTTATTGTGCCCCTGATCTCCTAAATCCCCCTCCCCCTTCATCCTTAAACATCTCCATTTGACCTAAACCATCTGCATCTGGGCTGGCCCCCTGCCCCCACCCATGTCTTCCGACCCCAGCTGGATACACGTCCCCCCCATCCTTCAATCTTAACGCAGCTGTGACGGGTGGCCAAGTTCATAGAGTGTAGCTGGCTGTCAGGAGGGGCCAAAGGAGGGTGGGCCAGTCACTTGCCTTAGCGTGCATCTCTGCAGGCATGCACATACGCCCACATACGCAGACACAAGTGTGCAAAGGCTAATCATCAATGTGTGCATGTTTGTCAGTGCAGGAAGGAGGAGGGGGGGGTGTAAAATGGCCCCACAAGATGGGAAGAAAGAAAATAAAGGCAGAAAGGAGTGCACGGTATGTGCAGACCAGGAATGTCTCCTAAAGACAAAACCTATAAAAGCATCAGGAATCAAAACAAGATCCTTTTGGAAAAGAGACGTTAATAGCTGCAGTGAGGGGTCTAGTTTCAACCAGGAGCCCATTGGTCAGTGGCAATTACAGGCTCTGAAATGAGAGCCAGGAGGGCAAAGGTTGTCAAGGCCTCTGAGAGCAAGTCATTTTCACCCTCTCACTCTCGTGTGTCTAACTGTTGTCAACATTCATGCTCCCTAAACAAATATTCATCAGCCATCAACCTGGACAACCGCTGCAAATGGTGTGTTTCAAGGTTAGCAGATAAACGCATGAAGAGTTGCGAAAGAACCGCAGCTGCTGGCTCCCTGACACACTGGAAGTACGGTTTTTATAAACAACGTCACACATGCAAAGTTCCTTTTCCTGACTGAGAATCGTCAATTAAAACTCACATTCCTGATGTCTGTTTGAAAGGCAAGAACTTGAATGTTTAGTTTTCATTTTTTTCTGGGGTAAACAGCTTTTCTTATAAAGGGGGGAAGGAAAAAAAAATCACCTTTTCAATGAAATTACATAATCTATGACATGTGACTAGATTACAGCCTCTTCATTATATGAACAAAAACGGTGGATCTGGAGGCCTTCTAGACCTTTGCACATTACTTGACCACCTTTGTTAAACTTTAACCTTTTAAAATGGTTACAACTGAGGTTACTTCACATTTTACAAATGCCTACATTTACCTTAAGCATTTATTGAATAAATAACTTGCATAAAGTGCATAAAGTCCTGTTTCGTTAGGCTCACACAATGCAAAATATCTGGTTCTTACCAAGACAGAAACATCTAGAAGTGTTAGAAAATGTTTCTTGTTTTAAGACATAACTTCTAATTTTCTGCAGTGTATTAGTAACCATATGAAAAAACATGAAATTATTTGAAAGAAACTAAGATCCCATTAGTCTGATTATTAATAAGCAAGTGCAGAGCAGGACTATAAATACAAATCAATCTTTCTTCAAGTAAATGTATTTTTTTCTGGATTTGAGCAGGTAAGAAAATTTCCCAATGCAATAAAATTATTTGTGTGTAAAACCAGAAAACAACAACTGTATTAACATTTTTAAGTGTATAACATCTAATTATCAGATTCAAATGGAAATTATTTTCACAGGCAGATCATTTTGTGTATCTGCTATAATTAGGGGAAAATACACAAATTTTGAAGAAATCTTTCCTTATTCTTAGATAAATTTTAACAATCTGGGATAATGACAAACTAATCATAAAAGATTAAACTACATTTGTCTCCCTGTGATGAAGTTTCCTCCTACTGCAGTTAGTTTTACCATGGGAACGGAGGATGGGGTTGATGTTTGGTCGAAATGTTCCGCCACATCGCTCAACGTTCGCCGTAGCTTTTTTGCAGCTTCTGTCAAAGGATTCTATGTTCACACTACAAAAACTGATCTAAAATGAGTAAAGATTTCTTACAATTAACACACATTTTGAGCAGTTAAACAAGATGATCTGCTGATGGAAGGAAGATTTTATCCCCTTAAAATAAGTTTATTCCATATTTTGCCCTTGAAATAAGTCGTTTTGATGATATAAAAAAAAAAATCATATTAGTTGCCATGTTGTTGAAGAAAAAGTGACGTGGTTAGACTTCAGGTTTTGCAGTGCAGGTAGGTTCACAGTTGTGCTAATTGTTCCACCAAAAACAAACAAACTGAGGCTTACAAAGACGAGCCGGTTTATCATGAGATTAAATCAAACACAGCTTGACTCGAATTGGAATTTGCTATAAGCTGGGCTTTAAAATCTATCTGTCACACTGAGTTTTATTCATTCACTTTTTTTTTTCTTTTTTTTTGTTTATCAATTTTATTATTTTATTTAGGGGGAAGCAGAGTAAAAAAAAAAAGAAAAAAGCACACAGTTAAATTTGTAAATGTTTAGAAAACTTTGACATAACATGAAACAATGTGAAGAAGCTTTAAGATTATTCTTTATTCTTTATTTTAACATAATGCCAAAGTCTTCCCTCCTCAGTCTGTCCTCCAGACCAATAAACTTCCTATCTGGACCAGTTTTGTTCTGTGGAGCAGCAGCCAAGATCTTAGTTGTTTTTCAATCCCTTATTACCAAAACTTCAGGAAAAAGAAAATTCTAGTTTATTATGAGACACTAGAGATTGAGTTTTTTTCTTTTTTATTAATATTTTACAAGGCATAGTTTAACAAAAAGCAAGATTAACAAAATAAAAATAAAAAAAACAAAAAGCACTAACAACATAAAGCAAATGGAAGGATTTGCAATGCATGTTCCTATGCATAAGGGTTTACATGCAAGTATCAGTCGATGCCAATACAAGAAAAAGAAAGTATAATTTGCCAAAAATATTTGCAAACGTACGACGTTCTGTCTTTATAAGACGCCAATACAAGAAAACCCTGCAACCAAAAGATGGCATCCTTATTTTACATTCACCAAAACTACAAGAGAAAACTATGAAGAATTGATCCAAACTAATTCTTCTTTCTGTAAACCTAAGGCCTCGTCGTTAAGCTTAATCACAGACATAATTCCAGCATGCAACAAAAGATCAGGATCAAATGTAGGTCCGAAAGGGCAGGGAGTATAGCCGCCGGGTCACTGGACTTGAAAATGTTAAGGAAACACAAATGTGTTTATACACAAACCCCATGAACACTTGCACATGCATAGACAATCATGCTTCCCTAAAGGGAAACTGTTGTGGGAGAGCAGGGGTCAAGGTGTTGTGACATCAATGAGGACAAAGGTCTAAAGTCACTGATATTCTCTGCGCCATCAATGTCAGACTCAGGTTTTTCATAACTGAATAAAATCAAGTGAAATGGGAATAAAAGGAACAAGAAGCTCTATATAGACAATGAAAGGAAAAAAGAAATCTACGGTAATGCAGGTCTAAACAGTAAACTGAATGAACATTTATTCCATTTAAACTGCATTACACACAATCTAACAAAAATAAAATACTATACACTGCCCCTTATTAAATAAACAATTATTTAGATGCACCAATCTTTAAGCTTATGACTCGATCATTCCTGCTTGTAAAAAATTTAATCCATCCTCTCCATTCATAAAATGTTTCAACACAAAGAAGATTTTCCATCTGTACACCCATTAGCAAACAGCATGTGATTTCATATAGAAGAGGGAGATATTCCAAGAGGCTTTCTAACAGATTTATAAGCGCCGCCCTTAGCAAACAATCAGCAGCAACATTTTCTCCTAATGCTAATGACAACAGATCAGCAGGAAAGGCCTCAAATAAAAAATGATTTTTGTTTGTTTGTTTGTTTGTTTTTGCTTCAAAAAGTGATCGGTGCTGCAGAGACTATTTCCACTGTGAAAAAAGGAAATGTGTTTGCAGTCGCTTAAGATAAGAGCCCAGTTTCGATTAAAAAAATGTATGGGGTGAATTTTATTCCATTATTGTTTCAAGCTAAGATCGCAATTTATAAATGGAAATAAAAAAACAACACATTTTGCAAATGTAATTGTGAAAAAAATACAATCCAGAAATGAAACTTTATGAACATTTTTATCAAAAGAGTAACTTTGCTGTTTTCTTAGACTCTTTTTTTTATTATTATTTTTTCTATTTATTCCATTTTTATTTTATTTTATTATTTTTGTTTTTAAATCAGCTGTAAAAATCTGACTTTTGATACAAATTTTTCTACCTCTACTGAGACGTATTTGCAGTTGGACGGAATAAAAACTGGATTTCATTTCAGAAGTATAAGGAGTCAATTTTGTTCCATTATGATCTAAAGCAAAGATCCAATTTTATAAGTATTAATCCATATAAAACACATATTATAAAACTGTAAGTTTTAAAAAATATATATTTTTTTTTTCATATTTTAGTTTTTCCTGCTTTTACAGATTTAAAATATAGGTATTTTTTTATATCTGTTTTTAAAAGTTTTATAAATTGCATTATTTTTTACTTTCTTTTGCCAGATCACATTCTCCTCACTTTCAATCCAATATAATCCAATATAAACGCTCGGTCTTGACCAATTAAACTTTTGTTGCCATCATACAAACCGATAGAAATTAGTCTTTGCTCCTCACTCCAGGGGAATTTGTTTTTCTTTTATTAAAGTATGTTCCAAGCTGTGATTTCTCAGTTGCATTTTTTAATTCCCATTTATAAATCATGGTCTTAGGAGTGCTAAATCTGCCAA